GTTATTTCATTTAGTTTAAATACCCTTTGTAACATGTTGAGCAAGGGGTTACATTCAAAAATAGTTAATACCAATTCAGAAAGTACATATAAATTATAATAGGTATAATTTATGATACATAGAACATTAATTCATGATTCAAGTATACTAGAATACACCGTTTTACAAGAAACAAAGGTTTGATTTAAAACAAATCAAGGGTATACAACTTTCAAATACATGTTAATAATACTAATTCAGGAATATACAATCAATTATTATTTCAGGATGATTGGGTTTTCATAACTATTATACATGTAACGTTTATATGCTTTTTATGAGTCATCTGATTCAGGTTGTTTAATTCATTAAGCAACATAATTAAAGTCCTGATATTATAACCAGAATCTCCAGTCAGGGGATCGAAACAAGTTATGTGTAGATCTATATTGGGGTTGACAACCCCGCACTCAAGCTGCTAGCTACAGTCAGGCATACACGCCAATGAGTGACAATTGTTATAAACAGTTTAAACGCCTACAAAGCGTTTGTTTCAGGCCATCTAGTCTCAGTATGGTTATAATAACTCATTAAAAAGATATTAACAATACGTTAGTGTATAATCAACTAAACATAAGTACATTTTCAAAGTACTAGTTTACAAAATACAAACTACAATAGTACATTAATAGCTGATAGAACCAGACACACTCATAGTTACAAGTTTTACATAAAGGAATACAAATACAGAACATTGGTTTACAAATAAGAACGATTTTATGAGATTAAAACTACTTATTATATACAACAGAGAATATAGGATTTTCTGGAACAGCTTACAAATTCATGGAACATAAAACATGCTTTTAAACATAAATACTTATGTAGACACTCAACTTTATGTTGATACTCTCTTTTTAAATTACTTGTATTCTCAGGGAAACAATAAACAGGTGCTCCCTGAGCTTTTTGAGAAGATGGAGCTATTTTGAGTCATATCTTCTTTTGTATAACTATTTTAGTTTCAATATACAATGATTGAACACATGTAAATACTTATACTTTTAAATACAATGGTTGTTTGTATTTTGATTATTATGATGCATGTGTTGTGATACTACAAACGAAGTTCTCCACCCCCAGACGTTTCCATCGTCTATTTTGGGGGTGTGACATATACCTATTAAGAATGGCGGGCCTTAAAGATAAATTTTTATTTGAGAAAAATGTTAAATTACTTTGAAAAGCATTATGGGATTTGAATTATGTTGCTAATTATGTTGATAAAATTAATCAAAGGATTTTTATACATGTTTATCGTTAGAGTTTCTCAGTAAGATTTAGTAGCTTAACTATTGTTTGTTGATGTGTCTTTCAGGACCTAGCAACCCCGATAAGGGTAAAGTTGTAGCAGAGATATAGACGACTTAGAGTGGCTTGTATAGTTTTGCATGTTGTTGTAAAAAATTGTATCGCCTAGGTCAATCTCTAGATAATGGTTTTTGTAGATGGTCTTTGATAACGACTTGTCCTATGCAAACTTAATATGAATGTACACCTACTTATTTGAGTAATAAAAAAATTTGGATGCACTTTGTGTTAATTTATCGGATGTTATAAGCTGGAGAAATATCGAGAGAGGAAGAATTTAGTGGAGTCAATCCCCCAAAAATATGTATTCTTACATTATGGTAAAGTAATAGTCTTTGAATATATGGGTCATACAAACTTGACAATGTATGCACTCTCGTCGTATCTGGGTGCAAAACCTAGTTATGAGACGTTTTAATGTAACATCTTTTTTTCACCTCCAATATTATATACTTGTCATTTAATATACATTGGAAGATATTTACAACAATAGTTATAAAGATTTAGTGTATTTACCGACTATATTTTCCACTAACAATTTGAATAAAATGTTTTTGGTTAGAATTTTTTGCTAGAAGGTTATAATTCTTTAAATGACTTATTCAGAAGATAGAAACATCTTGCATGATGTTCTTATAACGTACACATTGGTGGAGCTTTATTAGTGGGAGGGGGTTGTGCCCTACCCCCCACCATTTTTTGGTTAGAAACAATCCATGTATTTTAATTTTATACATATTAGATCCAAAAATATAAAATTTTGGTTGTATCCCCCTTCTTGTCAATTTTTATACATATTACATTTTCATCCCCCAAATCTAATGTACAAAGATCATTAGTTATATCTTTAATGTAAACATTTTTAAATAGGTATGTAGCAGTATGTATTTGATATATATTATTAACAATATTTGAACTACGTTTAAAATTTTTTGAAATAAACCTTATAAGGAAGTACGTGCAAAAAATGCGGCATTGAACAATATTGTTAATATCATGTAATAGTTTTCGACGTAGAACAACAAAAATGTATTAGAAAACTTGCAGGTTGTTTAAACGTGACAAAAAAATTGTATACTTTATGTTTTATAAAAATATTTTTGGCAAGCTACATCTAACTTATTTTTCAAGCTATTCAGAATAGTTTCAAAGACTTTATTCACCTTTTTTTAAATTCTCTCAAATATACAATTTATTAATTATTATTATTATTATTATTATTATTATTATTATTATTATTATTATGTATGTATGTATAGGCTTAGGTTATTCTATTCAAAATAATTATTGTGTTGTTGTATGCATAAATGTGCGCCAATCAATTTTACTTATTTTAAGAAAGTGAATAATACGTATTATTAAATTAAAGATAATTAGAAAATACCATCTAATTTCATTTTAAGGGTATTTTAGTCAATTAACATAAATTTAAAAAAAAAAAAAAGGAAAATTGCATATTTTAAGGGATAATAGATTTTATTAATTTTAAAAATCCGATTGTAGTGATGATAAATTTTCAGATATTCTGACAGAATATATTTATCAAAAATAAAAATATTCTTGAACCAAAAAATAATAAAATTTTGAACCTATTTCTTGATCATAACTTTAAAAACTTCTTGGAGAATAACAAATTCTTGAACCATCAATTGAAGAATAAAAACAAAAATTACATTAATTCTTATAGAATACGGGTAACAATTGCTAAGAATTACATTTATTGTTAAAGAATAAGACTAAAAAAACTTTCAAATCGGGAAAAAACATCAAAATCTAACAAAGACATTAATACATTCTAAAAGAATAATGTTGTTAAGAATCATTTTCAATTTCATGGTCCATTCTTCAAGCATTAGCTGCTTCTGTGGAAACAAATCCAATGCATAAATCAGTGAGAAAATATTCATATTCCTTTCCAACAGAATTGGAATTCGTGATTCCATTCTAATAGAATTGGAATTCAAGATTTGGTTACGGTATGCATTCTATTGGAAAAATATCCAAAGTAAAAAACAATTTAATGAGAATGATACTGTTAGACATTCCAAGATAGAAATTCGTTCATTTTCATCAACAACATCTAACTCTCCAAGTTCAAAAATTAGTTGATTTTGGCTCTCAACCACCTGTAGAAGTAAAATGCAATTTAAAAGTAAGAACACAGAAATAAAGCTACTATTGCATTACAAAGAATACCACAACAAAAACAACGAAACCCTAAATACCATAGGAATGGTGTAAAAAAGAGGGTAGATATGGCCCCAAAACCTTCAAATCAACTAAAACCATGGTGGGAAATTTTGTGTAACCCTCAACATTTCACTTATAAGGGAACTCTCAGTTCACATCTTAACTAATGCGAGGCAAATGACTAATTCCAACCTATAAATAAATACATGAACCATGTAGAACTAGTCCTTATTTCCCACTTCACATAAAACTCCAATTCCGATAAAAGTTAAAGTAATTGCATTGCCCTAGTTGAATATGAGGATGGTGAAACAATATATTATGTGCAGTTAAAAGTTCACTAACCTAAATCGAACAATCAAACAACCAGTCACGCAGATTAGGGTTTACCAGATAGGTCTCCTCATCCGAATTTGATCAAATCTATTAACTAGCTAGAGTAATTTTTTTTTGTAAATTCGAACAATCAATAAAACGCAAACGGAACCTGTAAATGGTAGCAGTATGAAGTGTGCTTTTGCTCCGAATGAAATGAGACGAAACCCACATAGCTTTTACAAATTTAAGTTGGAGTTCAATAACAAAATATACAAATATTACCAGGTGAATGGGGCAAAGGAGAAGGAGGGGTTTCTAACACCGTCTTGAAGGGAAATAAGAAGATCAAGATCATCACCGTGTGTTGACATGACGGATTCAATGGCTTGTCTGATTCATCTGGTTTAGACGAAGAAGGCACTAGTAGCAGCAATAGCATCGCAGCAAGTAACAGAGATGGGCTACATACGATCATAACAATGAACAAAGGCGATCACTCATAGAGCCCAGAAGAAAAACATCAACAAACGATCATCGAGAGCCAGATTAGCATAATCCCACCAGAAAATGATAGTGGGTCGTGTATTCGATCTTGTTCACTTTCGGTTGTTTTAAAAAACCGACGATGGATGAAGAAAACCTAGATAGCTGAAGTCAATGGTTACCATAATTATAGAATATTATTTGTGGAAAATAATTATCAAATTACCTATTTACTTTTATTTATTTATTTAATTATTTGTTTTTATTTTAAATTTTGATTAGCCTATATTTATGCATACAATAATACAATAATTATTTTGAATACCAACCTAGACAATAACACAATAATTACTTTGAATACCTCAACATATATATATATATATATATATATATATATATATATATATATATATATATATATATATCTTTTACATGTCATTATGTCATTTTATATATTTCAACTAGTTTTACCAAATGTTTTTTTTTTATCAATTAGCAGTTATCTTTACATCTATTTAGTCTGTCAAACATAACCTAAAAATAAATCACCTCACACAAGGACACTTTGTATTGTTCTATTACATAGATTAAAGTGATCATAATTAGCAATAATTTAAGAACACCTGATTGAACATTTAGCAAAAAATTTAAATCAGAAACTACAAGAAATACATAATTGTTCTTATCTTTCTACCCCTGGTTACAAGAATACACAGTGCATTAGCTTACTCTTCAATTAACAAAATATGCCTAGAGAATGTGAAACGTAGCTTACTCAAGTTTTATGATGGCTAAATCATAGATTATGAGTTGCACATTTAAAATTGTAGGAAGGTCTTCAGTATGTCCTTTTTCTCACTGGTATCTTTCTTACATCTTTCTTAGTTGATGCACTGGCACCTACATTTGTTTGGTACATGTCTTTTAATCTGCAAAGAATAATGACACCAGCTGCTAAATCAAACAATTTTTTCTCTCTTTTACACATTTAAAAAAGAATCTTAACAACCACCTTGGCATACTGATAAACAAAGCAATCACTGATACTCCAATAATTAATGGATACACAGGTGCCGGGGTCAATTCCTGCAACCAATATGATAATTTTTGTTAGACTACATTTATTGGTTGCGTTGATGCTTTATTGGATAATGTGTTTACTGAAAAATTATGAAAATATATCAAAATTCATGGTCTTTATTTCTCTATAAATAGAGTATAATAATGATATTTTTTATATATATCTGAAACTCCCACATAAGGTATATATTTTTGGTTGTTGATAAACGGGAAATTTTGAATTTGGTTGGTTGGATATGTGGAGAAGAGAAACTAATTTTTTTAATTGTGGGTTGGAGTTTTGGAGAGGTCACTGATAAACATAGTCTTAGAGATGATGCTATTTATGGCCATGACCAACTATAGCAGGTTTACAAGTAAACAAACTTTTCTTTTTTACAACTTTGGACCAAATTTTAATTTTTGTAATGACTTTGGTCTGTATTTTGTTTAAATTTGTCCCAACTTTGTGATTGTTTTTGTTAAAAGTTGGTTTTTTTACAAATTAGTACTCTAAATTTTTTAGATATCCATTTTTATTCCTTCTTTTTTAAAGAATTTTTAGTTATTACAAACTCATTTAGTAAATCTTTTACACACATTCACTTTTTATGCATGTAATGGTTTTGTAAAAACCATGTACAAATTCATAAAAAACATGAACTAATTCGGTTTTACAACTACGAATTTATAAAAACGAAGATTAGTTTTTACAAACAACGAAATTGTAGATCCAATCTTCGTTTTACAAAAAAATCATTTTATTACCATTTTTACAGAAAAACGAAATTGTAAATCCAATAATCTTTTTATTACAAATTCATTTTTTATAATTTATTTAAGAGCATGTAAAAGTTGCAAAAAAATTATAAAAACATATGCATAAACACAAATATGTGAGATTCACAAAACAAATTTGTAAAAAATGAATTAAGTTTAAAAAATTAATTTGCAAAAAAAATCTAATTTTAAAAAACATGTAAAAACAAAGTGTTAGAAACAAAAAATGTTGATATAAATTTGAAAAGAATAGTTGGGAATAATTGGTTGCCATAGATAGCAACTCATGGCTAAAAGGAAAAAAGAAAAACAAATTTGATGGTTACTTCTCGATATATTAAAGTGTGTAAAATATCTTTTGTTATTAATGTTAACAACTCATGGCTAAAACGAAAAAGAAAAACAAACAAACAAACCTGTTTATGGTTATCATCTTCAACTTTGTATCCGAGGCGACCCACGTGAATTTGTGTATGTTTTTCCAAATCAACCTCAATCACTTGAGATTCAAATTTGATGGTATTTGATGATAGAGAAGATCGAAGCTGCAGAAGGTGTTTACCCTTAGGCAAGCCTTTCACCTGAAAGAAATTTGAAAGTGACAAAGGTAACAGGGATTCTATATTGGATGGATCAGTTGCAGATCTGACTTCCAACCGTAGGTATTCATGAAGCTCCTTCATTCTCTCTCCATCAATGGTGCCTGTTACTAAAGTCACATCTGGCTTCTCAAATACTAAAAAGTCTAATCCCCTCATATCTTCATATCCAACCTACACAAATTTCTTTTTCAGATAAATGTATGAAATCTGAAACAAAGGAAATTACGATTATGCCATTGTATCTTGGAGCTGACCTGAACCACAACAGAATCTGGAGAAGCACGTTCGATGGTAGAGGTGTCAAACCCACTTTTCCTTGCTACTTTAATTGTGTAAGTTGTATCGGGGTGAAGCCCTCTTAGGCGATAACTTCCTGATGAATCAGTTACAGTCTCTTCATAAAAACTTTTTAACTCCGATCGGGCCTCAACTAAAACGCCTTCTTTTGGTTCACCAGACAATAGAGTAACCATACCCATGGCACTGTGAAGGGAAAGAAATCAATAAATAAGCACAACCAGTCTCGATTAATACATGAGTCCTTGATGAAAAGACCAAACAACTATGAAATTTGCTTAAAATAAGTCATATTTATGACCTGCTGCGTATGTTGTTTTCTCAAAATTGTTCTTACATGTTTTAACATATCCAATTTTTTCAAATTTCATTTTACATCTTTGTTTCTTAACAACATTTCAAATTCGTTTTCTATAAGTTCGTTTTACAAAGTCATTTTACAAGTTCCCATGAAAAAAGAGACATACCTGTAAGCAACCCTTGTGGCTTGGAAGACAACTTCCCTAGACTCCCCTGAACCAAGTTCAACTGCTTCTGCTGATGGTGAGAAAGCATACTCCTAGAAATTACAACAAATTAATGAACTGGTTAAAAAAACTAAAATAACTTTGGAGATGAAGAGGCGGGCAGGCAGGTACCTTTAACAACGGACGAAGATAAAAGCTCCCTGGAAACAGATTATCAAAAACAAAAGTTCCACCAGCAGCAGATATTGAGTTATTTCTATAACCATCTTCCCCACTCAATGATAACAACACAGAAGGAAATAATTCATTGGCATCTTCTTTAGAATGTATATGTACAGAGATTTGACCAAGCTTCTGACATGAAAAGGAATAGGGTCCAATCTCCTTTACATGATATCCAGGCTATTATTAAGGAAAAAAAAAAAAAACTTTAGCTGATTATGTAAATTGCAGTTATAGCAAGAGTTGTATTCTTAAAGTAGTAGGACTTCAAACCTTTGAAGCCTCAATATGGTAAGTTATGTCATCATATAGGGGTCCCACAACAAACAGGCCGTCTGTGTTCGTGGTGGTTGAAAAAGCTAATTCATTTTTCTTGATTTGACCATTTTGACTATCTCCAGCGGCTATGATTCTAATAACAACATCTGGAAGTGAAGGAGAAACTGATCCTTCAATGTACAACCCCAGTCGCCCAGAAAATGGAGGAACTGAAGCTTGGCACCCATTTTCTGCCACTTTGACCTGATGTTGACTAGGATAAAATAAAATTTTCTTTTCATTGTTGCTCCTGCAACATATCATTCACAAGTTAGCCTTGGTTATGGCATGTAGCATGAATTCTTAACTTTTAAATAACACCCAAGATTTACCGAATATCTCGAGGTACAAATGTAAGTCTTTCTCCAGGATTTGCCCATACTTCAAACTCATAATTAGCTGTATCTGATTGCTCGTTTCCATTGACTACAAGTCTTGCAGAACTGCCATCAATAGAAGTTCCCTTACCGTTCAAAATTTCAACCAATAAATTTTCAGGTAACTGGTGAACACCATCTTGTGAACTCAATTCAACCCTTATTTGTCCCTTGACAAGATACTTCTCTCCTTTCAGATAGATAGGCTAAAAAATAAAAAGACAAGCTAATCATGAGAACTGAAGCAACAAAAAAAGAAGCAGGCTTACGAGCTCCAATACTGAAAATAAGCAAATGGAGAAAATACCAATGTGTTGGCCGTGTCAATTTTCACAGGTGAGCTCCCAAAAAGTATACAAGAGTTTACAAGGTGAAGTTCATGCACTCCAGGAGGTTCAATGCATATGCGTTGTGGACCTTTCTGCAATTGACAATGAAATAATATGAGAAAAAGGTCAGCTTGGAAGTGTACTGACTATAGTATTGACCTACCTTAATTTTTAGATTCACACGAGAACCATCTGATTGATGCAGATATGTGTCTACATCATGAGTGGAAACTAAGTTAACCCAATAACCTTTCTGAACAAAATTAATCCCTTCAACATCTTCTGCCTTAATATTGACATGTACAGAGCTCTGTTCCCAACACCATTTATCTTCTCCACTAATAGCTCCTTCTGAAAGGTGATTCACCTACAGAAATAGCACGCAAAGATATAAACAAAAATTCCCATTAGATCTTGGGGTAAAGGAGGGGTATACCTCAAGTGCATATTTTCCAGGTAGCACATTTTCAAATAAAAATTCACTACTTTGGTCAGTCAAACCAACAGTCAGCTTCTCTTCATGGCTTTTAGCATCCAACCTCACAAGAGCAACAGAAACAGATGAATCACATTTTTCTTTGCAAGTCACTGAGCCATGTACATTAACTTGTGCCTGAGATTTATGTGAGTTCCATCAAGTAAGATACCAATATATTTCTTAGATCAATACTGATAAATATTTATCTGTGATAGGCCCTGATACATTCTTGATCTGATACTCAAACTATGATAAAATTAAAGATAGATTTCCATTCATTCAAGAGGAATGGTCTCTCCAAAAGAAGAACAAGGTTCTCTTACACAATAATTCTTAGCTACCTCCCTCATACTACTACTAAAGAAAAGGACAAAAGGGAATAACAACTTGGCAAGGTGATATCCCCCCAACCTTGTCCCACCACTAACTCCAGACTGCAAAATAAATATAGACCAAACTGCCCTTCATACATCAATTTTGAAAGCAGGCTGCCCACAATAACTAGAAGTCCATGGGGCTTATCAATCTAATACACACCTGATAAAATTTCAGTGACAGCAATGGACCATTGACATTGACATCAATATGTGGGGGCAAAAACAGAAGATCTGGAGTAGTTGCAGGTGTAGCTGCAATAGCCGATAACCGATAGTCGCCAGGTGTAACCTGAAACACATTAACTTTAATAGTCAGTTTATAAATCATGGCAGCATGAAATTACAAAACAATCCTTCTCCAACATGCCAATTGCCAAAATGATTATGTATAGTAACTTGGATCACAGCAACCACAACATCAAACTCATAGCTATCATTAAAAGCATTTATAATATTTGTGCTACGCATTCACTTTAAGTCATGTATTATAGAAAGGGGTAAGATGGGAAATCAGCAAAATAAGGGGCGTCTTATTAGTATAGGGGTAATTTAGGTATGTTACTTTGTTTGAGTTTGTTACGCACAGTGCTTATAAGAGGAGTAGAGGGGAAGAGAGTAGGGTAGCTTTTGTGAAATATGGTTATTATACCTCAGAAGAGGCTCTCGAATCTCTAGCCAAGCATTAGGGTTATCTCTTGTTTATTTGCAGTTTTAAGTGATTTCAATCTTACAAGTCAGTTCATAGCAATTGGTGTCAGACAATGGCCCTGAGAACTGTGGCTCAAAGAGTGGAAACAATATATGAAGGATTGAAAGAAATGTGTTCTTCCATAGCAGAGATGCAACTCCATTCATCAATTCCACTTCCACCGGGGTTTGAGGATAGTAGCAGGGTGTAATTCACGAGAAGCTCAAAGCTGATCCTTAAGGTTGAACGGTAACAACTGCTAGAAGATGACAAGATGGCAGTTGAAATAAATAAGTAAGGGATGGGAACACCGTCAACAAGCAATGAGAAGAGGGAATAGATGAAATCGCTAATACCTTGGCAATTCAGGGAGAGATCTTCTGTCTCACCATTGCATTCGAAGTTAGCCAAGGGAGAAGAGACAGACCACCACTGTCATCACCACCAGCACCACCAGGATTAGAAGTTTTCTATCCCTCAAACTCAGGGGAACCATAGCAGATTCAGAAGTGGTGGTCCTCATTGACCCAGGGGCAACCCATAATTTTCTATCCCTGCAAACCATTAACCAGCTCCACCTACCTGTCATACCAACAGCTGAATTTGGAGTTCCCTTGGGGACAGGGAAGGCAGTCTCAGGACGAGGTAAATGCCAAGGGATTCTTCTACAGGTGCAAGGCTTGGATATCAGGGAGGACTTCCTTCCTCTCACTCTTGGAAATTCCGATGTTATCCTAGGAATTCAATGGCTAGAGAAGTTGGGAGCAGTTACTACTAATTGGAAGACACAAATTATGAAGTTTCAGGTGAATGGACAGTGGGTCACCTTACGGGGGGATCCTTCCTTGGAACGAGCTAGAATCTCCATGAAAACCATGGTGAGAACTCTTGGGGCGGTTTGGGGGTGGGGGTGGGGGTGGATACTTGCTCTAATACAGCCATTTGGAGATGCAGGCCCCGACTCCAGACGTACCACCAGCTCCACCGAATCTGTCCCAGTTGGTACAGAAGTTTGCTAGGGTGTTTAATTGGAAGGGAGGTCTTCCACCACCAAGGAACCAACAACATGCGATCCAATTGAAGGCGGGTGCCGGACCGGTTTCAGTCAGACCCTACCGGTATTCTCACACCCAAAAGACGGAGATTGAGAGATTGTTACGTGATATGCTCCAATTGGGAATCATACAACCATCCCGTAGTCCCTTCTCGAGCCCAGTCTTGTTAGTTAAAAAAAAAAAAGATGGATCATGGAGATTTTGTGTGGATTATAGAAGTCTTAACAAGATCACCGTTAAAGACAAGTTTCCAATTCCGGTTATAGACGAGCTCTTGGATGAATTGCACGAGTCAAGAATCTTTTCAAAATTGGATCTAAAGTCCGGGTACCACCAAATTCGGATGAAGGAAGAGGATGTGCCAAAAACCGCCTTTAGGACCCAAGTCCATTTATGAGAAGGAACTAATGGCTATAGTCCTGGCTGTAAGAAAATGGAGACACTATTTGCTGGGAAGACACTTCATCATCAAAACAGATCAGCTAAGTCTGAAGTTTCTAATGGAGCAAAGGGAGGTTGGCCCGAAATACCAGAAGTGGATGTACAAGCTGATGGGGTTTGATTTTGAGATTCACTACAAGCCAGGTCCCACGAATAAGGTAGCAGATGCTCTCTCACGAAGGAGTAATTCTAGCCCAAAATTACAGGTGATCCATTCATTCAACAAGTGAAGTTAGACATCACTGAAGGCAGCAAGAACCATGTCGGATATTCAGTGGAGAATGATAGACTTTATACAAGGGTAGCCTGGTAATTCCCCACAATTCCACACTTATACCTAGCCTACTACACAAATTCCATGATTCTGTGATCGGGGGAACTGAGAACATATCAAAGGTTGGCCTACAACACACTTATACCTAGCCTACTACACGAATTCCATGATTCTGTGATCGGGGGAACTGAGAACATATCAAAGGTTGGCCTTCGAATGGTTCTGGGTGGAAATGAGTAAATCAGTTCAAAAATATGTAGAGAAATGTCAAATTTGTCAAACACAGAAATCCTTACACACCCACCCAGCGGAGTTTCTACAACCTCTTCCAGTGCTAGATCAGGTATGAGATGACGTTTCTATGGACTTCATAGAGGGGCTTCCGAATTCGAAAGGGTACAATTTCATTCTCGTGGTGGTGGACCGACTCACTAAGTATTCACACTTCATAGCAATGAAACACCCTTTCAGTGCAGTTTCAGTGGCAGCCACATTCATCAAGGAAGTTGTGAAGCTTCATGGGTTCCCAAAATCCATAGTTTCTGACCGGGACAAGGTTTTTATGAGTCTATTCTGGCGCGAATTGTTTAAACTACACCACCAACTTGCTCAGGAGCACAGCCTACCACCCGCAAACAGATGGCCAAATGGAGGTAGTTAACAAATCAGTGGAACTCTACCTTCGTTGCTTCATTCAAGGGAAACCACAGTCTTGGTCGAAATGGTTACATTGGGCTGAGTTTTTGCATAATACAGCTTATCACACGTCCGGAAAGATCACTCCCTTTAAGGCTTTATATAGCCGAGACCCACCCTAAATACTTAGGATGCAAAAAGGGCAAACAGTTGTATCCTCGGTAGAAGAACAACTCCTGGAAAGAGATGCAATCCTTGTGATTTTAAAGGACAGCTCATCCAAGCCCAACAGAAAATGAACAAATTGGCAGATAGACACCGCAAGGATGTGTCATTCGATGAAGGGGAATGGGTGTTCCTTAAACTACAACTGTACTGGCAGCAATCTATGGCTCACAGACCATTCCAGAAGTTGGCAGCTCACCTATCAGAGAAGGAGGCACAAAAAGATTCCAACGTCTGTGGGGACCAAAGACACCCACGATGGCACTACCTAGTTAGTGGGACAGCAGGGGTAAATTGGGAAATAAGGCAGGTCCTCTGTCATGGTCAGTCCTTTTAAAGGTGTGTTCCTTTCATTTAGAGGCAGGCAGAATATTAGAAGCTTCTTCTACTTTTGGAGACCATAGCATCTCGAATAGCTATATTCCATTGTTTCTTCCTTATTCTTGTTGTTCTTGTTATGAACTTGAATTCAATATAGAGGCTGCCACTGTTTCATTGCTATTTAGATAATTATTGTTGAGTTCATAACACAGACCGAACAGAGTTGTCGTAATCCCGGGGCGTCTTCCTTAGGTCCCAGAGTACCAACGAAAAATTCATTGAGATGACGTCTCCGTTAAAAGATTTAGCGGAAGAGGTATCTCTAGGTCATGTCCTAAATGGTGAAATAAGAAATTTGAGCCCGCAAAACATGGACTTGGCTATTAAATTAGAGAGAAAATTAAGCCCATATCCATTGAAGACAACAACGGCCAAATCTCACCAATATGCGACTTATTCATCCGGTCGCTCCATCTCTTATCTTTTTCCTCCAACCACCGCCACAGTGGAAAGAAACCCAGCGAAGGAACGGCGACCAGGGAGAGTCAAGACAAATGTTGTCTCTAAAGATCAAGGAAGTGGAAAGAAACCCGGAGAAGGAATGGCAACTAGGGAGAGTCAAGACAAATGTTTAGCTCTAGAGAAGATCAAGGAAGTGTCACATGAGCGGTCTTTCGTGAACAAACAAAAATCCAACCAGAGGAGATCAGCAAGGAAGAATACGCAGCTTTCCACAAAAGCCTTTAGATGATAGGGGCGAACGAGAAGCACTTTCCAGTCGAATTCAAATATGCTCTCTTTGTACCAAAAGGAGCTCCTTGTGATCTATTTGACACAAAGAAGAAGCCCAGCAAGATCAAACTTTATGTTCGTAGTTTCGTCCACATGGACAACTGCAAGGAGATCATTCCTAAATACTTGACGTTTGTCAAATGTATCGTGGATTTTCATAATCTTCCTTTGAACATATCAAAAGAGATGCGCAGCAGGACAAGATCTTGAAAATTATTCGCACTTATCTGGAGAAGATTTGTCTTGAAGCTTTTCCAGCCTTTCAAGGAGATTGCAGAGAGCAAGGAAGACCACAAAAGTAGCTTATAAACTAGCTTACACGCTACCTTTTGATAAGCCTATAAAGTTTTTTCAAAAATATTCCAAATATACCCTTAATTACATTTTTTCTTTTTTCTTTTAGTTATATATCTATATGTCCATTTATGTCATTTTACATTGTAATCTAGCTTATAAGCTACTTTATACCAAACATTATTAATTCATAAGCTAGTCTATCAGCTACCAGCTAGCTAATCAACTAATCTGCCAAACAGGGACAAAAGCATGGAATCCACGAGGATTCTACTCAAGACCAAGCTACTACTCCACAAAAAGTGGTGATGAAATGACAAGCTTGAAGAATTATGTTACAAGAATGAAGGATGAGCATAATGATATTTACTACACTACTGGTGAGACGACGAAGGTTATGAAGTTGTGTATAGGGTTTGACAAATTTGATGAGTATGACCATGTTCGTCCAAGCTCCTGAATATGAGAAGTTTGACAAATTTAACAGAGTATAGGTCTCGAAAATCCAATATGCAGGCATGCGTCAATATGATGGGGAGTTGAATCTACCTGCAGTGAGACCGTTAATATTGGTCATGTGACATTTTTCTTGAATAGATGCCAGTTTGAAAATTTCAATCATTCAAGGCCCAACCAAAGATGAAAGCTTTGGAGATTGGTGAAAAGGCTCATGATACCGTGTTCTTAGTGGAAGATTCGACCAAGTTGCTGATGAAGTTGTTAAGATGATCTTTGATGCAGTGGAGCCAATAGATGCAATACAGCAAGTGGAAGCTGAAGACACAATAAAGAGGCCACATGGGAGAAGTTGGATCCTATGCACCATTTCTATCCGTCTTGAGGACAAGGTGGTTCATCGAGCGTGGAAAATTGCTATGCCTCCACTTAAGTCATGCATTATAGAAAGGGTCAAAGGGCTAAGATAGGAAATAAGCAAAATAAGGGGCATATTATTAGTGGAGTGGAGAGTAAATCAGGTATTTTACTGTCTTAGTTTGTTACCCACGGTGCTTATAAGTGGGGTAGAGGGGAAGAGAGAAGGGTATAATTTGTGAAAGCAAGTCATTATACCTTGGGAAGGACTAGGCTCTCGAATCTTAGCAAAGCATTATGGTTATCTCTTGTTATTTGGCGTTTTTTTGAGTGATTTCAATCAATACAGTAAAGCCATTTGTTTATCTGTTCTTGTTTTTTGGTTTCATCTTACAAGTCGGTTCATAGCAATTTGCTGTTAACAGAAGATTCTGTCAAGTACCTCAAAGCAGAAATAGCCGCTATCATCAGTCTGTTTCATTTGTGGCTTAACATTCTGTGGTCCATGAGTAAGAGCTACCTGGAAAAGTATAACGAGTGAATTAAGTACAAATGAGGTGTATGAAGAATATAAAATGTTAAATTACCTTTGCTTTGTTACCAGAATCAACTATCTGCACTGAGCCACAAACACCATAAGACAATGCTTTGATATCAACAACTGATGCCATATTTGGTAAAACCTGAAATCGGTAGGCATTAAAGGTGAGAAAAGTTAGGAAAAAATAAAGACAATGTGTAAAATGTGCCTCAGTTTTGGTGCACTTGCCATTAAGTTAACCAGTTTTTCAAACTTGTAGTGGTCCTTTATAGCTTCGATCTGATACTGCTTAGATGTAACCTGTAGAGGAGCATAAATGAGGGCAGATGGTAGGAGTGGGACATTTTACACGATAAAGCAAGAAAAAACAGCAACAGTCTTTCCAAAACCTAAAAGAACATAGAGAAAAAACTGATAATGAAATTACCTGATCAAGCTTATAATATCCTTGTTTATCAGTGAAAGACCTGTCAACTCCATCCACTACAATTTTTACGCCATCCACTCCCTTGCCATTAGTATCAACAACACGACCCCCAACAGAGAAACCGGTGACCTGCTCAGGTTTAGTTTTTTTACAGGTACAGTTAAACCAGCCAAGCATATAACCATGATTAGTGATTAAATAGCAAGCACTTAAACTAGTGATCAACCAAGTGATGATTATGTACCTGAAACTTTTCAGATATTGTTGCATGACCATGTTGGACAGTCACAGCGACAGAGGCAGGGGAAACATCAAAAACTGTATTCTCACCCTTATAATAAGGTACAAGCTCATAAACCCCTGTAGGTATATCACAAGAATAAACCACAATAATTTAATTAACTTATAGAACCCAATATAGAGAACATTTTAACTAAAGCATCCAAACCCATTCAACGATAATATTCTTTCAATTGTATCACATAATCTTTTGCAATTACCTAATACACCACTTCAATGCCAACCATAGTTATCGATAGCGAATTGCGGCAAATAGCGACGGGCCACCTATAAGCTACGTAGCGAACAGCGGTAAATAGCGACCGCTATTTCGTATTTTGCGATAGGTATAAAAATATTAAAAAATATTTATTATGCAACTATTATAGCTATTATAGCTATTATAACCAATAAATAAGCAAACAAACCATTAAACTAGCTAAATAACTTAAATATATTAGTTTTTTAGACATGGATTCGGAGGCAGAGCAAGTCCAGAGCGTAGAGGTGGGAAGCGAAGTGGCGAACGAGACTTGATTTTAGTTAGCGTCAAGCCGTCAACCCTAATACGTTTATTCCAGCTTTTTTTTAAAAAAAAATAATAATAAAAAAATAACCCTATCGCTAAAAACCCCGCTTTTTGTCGCTATTTAGTCCATAGTGGTCGATGACCACCTCACCACGCTATTCGATATAGCGACCGCTATGGTCGCTATTGACAACTGTATGCCAACAGTCTTACAAAATGGACCCCACTCCCACCTCAACAACTATTTTATAGCTTATAACAAATATATCTTGAATTATTTATAGTTAATAAATATTTATTAAGATATTGACAGCACATATACTAATTCAAAATATGATTAGTTTTACAAAAATAAAAAATTATATTTAATATAATCTTTTTGTTTATATATAAATATATGTATAGAATTTATATCTATTATGTTTGTGTATATATTATATATTCCGTAATTACAAAAGATATTTTGAATTACTATTTAAGTATTTTAACATACATATATAATACTACAGATAAATAATATAATAATATACTAATATAATTAGATATTATAAACTAATCTTTGCAAGTCTTGCAGAACTTGAAAGTTTGTTTGAAAGTGTGGTGACATGACCTAAGCCATGTCACTTGCAAGAATTTTGAAAGGTCAAATTAATGACCGTTGTGGATGCTCTTAGGGGATGTTTGATAACATATCAACCAAACCATTCAGAGTGTCACCTCTTGATCAGTCAGCATTCAGCGTGTTTGATACAATCTCTGAACGAATCAAAAGCCTATGAATGGCCTCTAAGAGGGTATTTGGATTGCTTTAAAAACAACTTTTGGACTTTTCACTTTTCCAAAAAGTCAAAAAAGTTCAAAAGATGTTTGGAAAGTTGAAAAGTTCTTTATAAAACAACTTTTGGGCAAGGGAAAAAAGTTTGATTCTAAAAGTCACAAAATCGTGACTTTTGTGCCTCTTAAAAGCAACTTTTGTCTTTTGTCCATCCAAACACATATTAAGCCACTACTTATGGAAAAAGACCTTTTACAAAAAGTTCTTTTATAAAAAAGACTTTAAAGCTAAAAAAGTTATCCCAAACACATCTTAAACAGTGAAGGAACCCTACCTTCTATTAACCATTAAGAGGTTGGAATCACTAAACACTAAATGGTTCAGTGTTATCGAACAGCCCCTTGGCCACCTAATGTAATGATATGGTAGTTCATAGTATATTTTCAAGTTTTACAATAATCCTACAACTTATGAATCTTTTTAAATGGTAAAGCAAATTAGTGTGAACCCTCAAAAACATGAAAAGATACACCTTTCTAGAGGAAGGTTTTATCCATGCAAATGTCGCTGGAATGAACAGATTCAGTGCCATATCTAATCAAGGGAGAGGAAGAGAATCTAAAATATTACCGCATGGAATTGACTTAAATATAAACGTTCCATCAGCATCAGATATGGCATGGCAAAGTGCAGTTCTATGACCTGAGGGGTTACCAGAACCCTGTGGGCAGTGCACTTCCTTGACATCATCAGAGTACAGGTAAAAGTGAACCCCTAAAATGGGGTTTCCCTGAGGCAACATGATAGAGATTAGTAATCTAACTCGCTATTCAAACTGAATAAATGAAAAATATTCCAGTCCATTAAAGTGTGAAGCACATTATGGACTCAGGATGAGCAATTTTGCATTTCAAAAGCATTAAAAAGAGGAAGACTCACTTGTGCAACTACCAATCCACGAATATTGTAACCAGAGACAAAGAAGACATCTTCAACTTGGCTATTTCCGAACCCCAAGTCAACCTAACATTTTATATGCGGGATGAGAACCATGTAAATTGCTTTTGCATTCCCAATTGAGTGGAAACAAAATGGATGAGAAAGTTAATAGAAAAGATAGGTATATGTATATGACCTCTGTGGAACCTTTAACTTCAATATTAAGATCAGCATGGGAGGTGCGTAGGTTGTACCGTCCTACACCAAAAAATATAATGTAATTAGATAATGAAAGCAAACCCACCAACAATATCATGTAACAAGCACAAAACTCATCAAACAAAAAATCAAGGATCCAAATTTAATAATTATGATATAAATCTTAAAAATAACTTTTTGTTTGTGGATTTGTTATGTACATAATTCATAAGATAATAAAAACTATGATACGTGTCATGAGCTCTTAGAATGATTAACTCCTAGCATAGTTAAGTCCACACAAGAAAAAATTTAACCTGGAATTATGTTGGTGAAAGAATAACTTCCTGCTACTGATGTCAAAACGGACGATACAATATTCCCACTGGAATCCAGAAGCTCAACATTTACATTTGATGGACCACCATCGGTAGACGAACAGCTCTCACCGCCAATTGCTCCCACAACTTTTCCACTAATACTGAATCTGCAAAGATACCACACAGCAGAAGCTCAAGTCCAACACAACATAGACCACATAAGCTCCAAAAAAATATTCCACATAAAGTGAAATAAATTCTACAAAAAAGATTTTAGAGATAAGTATGGAAATGACTAATAAGCTAAACCAACCCTGTGAACCGGAAATTTATATCTTCATTTCTATTACATCCAGTATGATCGACAAGCACGGGAACCTACAAAAGTAAAGACATCAGACTTGTGTATCTTAAACTACTTCACCACATAAATCACCTGGCAGAAATTATATATATATATATATATATATATATATACACACATACATATATATATACACACACACTTATATATATACACATACATATATATATATATATACACACACACACACACACAAATATATACATTTACATATGGATATGTATATATATATGGGGAAAGTGACTATGGGGCTGTTATACACCTAGCATTAGGTGTGGAACCCATCAAACTATGTTGTTTTGAAGAAAAAAATTAGAACCTTTAACTTACTCTTTTGTTTCACCTAATTTTTCCAAGTTTGGCTACTGATATCGAATAGACAAAAAAATGTGTGATAAATAAAAATATCCAAGTTTGGCAACACGTGATTCTGTCAGTCTTGATGCCTCTTCTTTCACCTAAACTGACACTCGCCAGATTTGGTTGTTGCACTCGTTGAAGGTTTGCAGGCAACATCTTCTAGTATCGACCATACCTACTCCACCAAAAAAAGATCTTCAGATATCATCTTACCCTGTTACTTAACTTTTTGTTCATTTATTAGATAATGTGCAGAGTGCAAAAATGGAGTTAGGCCGTTCACCCTAGACCATGTATTATAATGATTACATCATTCCCTCTTTCATTTCAATCTTCTCATTTCTTGTTTTTGTTTCTATTTTTTATTGATGTGTCGAACGATATAAATTGATGTTTAGGTTTAATTATTTGGTTGTGAATTTCATTAATTGGATCTCAATTATGTTCCGACTTTTATTGTTTTGCGTTTGGATCAGGTTTATTAGGACATGTAAATTTTTTCTATATCTATCAATCTTGTTGGTGTTTTTGCTAGTTGATTTGCATCTTCATTGAAGGAGAAGCATCTAGGAACTCTGTCTGGATTTTGGTAACGTTTGTTAATGGGTTCTTGGCTTTTAATTTTTTTAGGAGAATATAGAGATGCATAGAGCATACCAAGTGTTGTAAATATGCAATACCCTTAGTAAACTGAGGCATTATACGATTTGTTTATGTTCTAGTTTTATTTACATGCTATGTTGGTTCGCTAAAATGGCTGCGATTGGAGTTCAGTTTTTAGCTCTTTATCATGTTGTTTACCTGTTTATAATTGGTTGATGTGCCGGCAATATATTCATCACCAAATGGATTCTAATTGGTTGATGTGCCGGCAATATATTCGCCCGTATCCTCATTGAGATGTCGGCTAAAGATCCTTGGGCTAAAGAAATAAAAATTAAAGCGATCACAGCCAAAGGTGTTACTTCTACAAATCTTCGAATGGAGTATCCTTGGAACCCTAAGAGGTGTGACCATTGCAAAATTTTTGGGCATGACCTTACCACATGCCCCATTCACACGACTAGTACTCCATCTCCAAAGTCGACATTGCCCACCCTAAAAGAGATTGATAATCAAGGATTCCAAACAGTCAAGAGGAGAACTAGATCAGTTCCAATTCCAAAAAAGAAGACCCCCATTGACAACCGTAAAGGAAAAGGCCCGGCTTTACAGATTTCTCAAGTATATAAACCAGTTAACCGTGCAAAGCCAAAGGAAAAAGTCTCCACTAACATGTTTGATGCTTTATCTCACCAAAGAGTGGTTGATACTGAAGATGATTCGTGTGCCCCTCCTGTTATGCATTCGAAAGATACCCACCCAGCATCATACGCACTTCTGAGCTCTTCTCATGGTGGTTGTATCCCCTCCCCAATTGATCAGGGATGACGATTTTAGTTTTTTTTTTCTTATTAGTTAGTTTCTAGGTGTTTATTTGGTTTGTCGTTGCTTTGGGGCATGTCCCTTAGCTTGGCTTGTTTTTTTCCTTTTTCTTGGGCGTTTGCCCTTTTCTTTTGTAATTCTTCCTATACTTAATATATTTTGCCAAGGGGATTCCCCTTTTTCCAAAAAAAAAAAAAGGTTAAACTTAAGATCGGTAAAAAAACATTGGAGAAAACATACTGAATTTAAGTAGCTGAATAGTGTGTGAATGGTTCATTTTGTGTGTATTTTGGAATCCCTTTTGTTGACAACTTTTGGGTATTTTAAGGCAAAAAATGGCTCCTCATACATTATATATCATATTGTTGTGTAAATTTAACTGGCAGCTCTTACTGGTTGGTGTTGGGCCAATGTTATACTCCCTGGTGCTTGTTATACATTCTACACCCTATTGACAAACATCCAGAATTCCACACTACAAAGAGCGCTCCCTTGTTGTGGTGCTGCTGCACTTAACAAATTTATAATTGGCATGCTTATCCAAAAGTGTGATGATGATGGAATTATGGCTAGTGGTAAAAGAGGCCAAAGATGGAATTTCGATGGTCGCACAATCGGTGAGCACCAGTTGCATGTACAGTTTTGAAAGGAAAAAAATTGAATTTTAGGGTTTTGATTTGTTATGCACTTTAGTACTTATGTAACAAGAATAAATTAAAGGTTTTATTTTTTTATCAAAACAACATAGTTTGATGGATTCCACACCAAATGTTAGGGGGATAACAGCCCCATATTCACTTTTCCTTATATATACATACATATAAACATTCTATATATATATATATATATATATATATATAATATAGACACACACATTATGTGTTGAGTATTTCAATAAATCAAAAGTACATACCTGATCTGGGTCCCATGACCATCCTTCAGGTCCCTTAACTTTGATAACATAAGAGCCCTACACCAAAGAAAATAAATATAAACACATATATTGAAGCTGAGCCTCTAAATGCAACTTGTATAATATAATACAAGAAACCGTCCATAACAACCGAACACGCATTGCAGCAATACGCCAAAGACAAAGAACAACCAAAAACTTTAATATTAATTACAATAGGACAAAAGGTGACCTTAAATCTCATGTAATCAATTCAAAGAGAACGTGACAGTATTCCCACTAATAAAGTTTATAAATTTGACTTCATAGAGATTAATTCAGGGGGGGAGGTTAAAGTCCTAAACTGCCAATCCTTTAGGGTGTCCAGATTTTCAGTTTTAGTAGTTCTAATGGTGGCTAGATAGTTTGAGCAGGGTTAAGTTAATGAGTGTGTGTGTGAGAGGGGGGGGGGGGGGGGGGGGGGGGAGAGAGAGAGAGAAAGGGCAATAATGTGCCATCCACACTTATCATCTTAATTCCCCTCAAGATTCTCAATGGAGTACCAAAATTAATGATGACTAAACAAGAACTTTGTTGGTTGATAATATAGACATCCTAGCATGCATGACATTTTATTTGGGATGGAGCCTGGAGGGAATATCATCTTAATTAACCAGACCAGGTTAAACAAATGCATGGCAATTTTTGAGATGATAACATTAACTTATGCCTGACCTTGATCATAACATGGTTTTCAAAGTCTAAAAACATGTTTTTGTCGCAAAGTTTAAAATGATTCTACTATTTGGTTTTAGTTTCCAAAAGTACTGAAACTAAAAAGATGAATATTAAAATGAGTTAAAAACTATTAAAAACCGATTAGGTTGCAAGTTCATAGAAATTTGTGTGCCATAGTTCAATGTATTACGACAACGTGAGAAACATTTTTTTTATTCTCCATGATTTATATACATAAAAATTTCAATAGAGAACGTTCAAACAGTTTTAAGTTGAAGCATCATAACTACATATTAATGTTAAAACAAATTAAATTAAACCATCATAATTTTATATCAACATTGAGACTCAGAATTATACTCTGAGATCATTAAAAAGTTAACATGAAGGGGTAAAAAGTTTTATCCTTCACCAATAGTATATATTATCATTGGATACGAACTTACACACCATGAGTAAGTGAGTAGGCCAATAGTGTATGTTTTCGTACCTTCTCATAAACCGGGATGAAGTAGTAACCATTAGGAGCACATTGCGTTCTATCCTTCACCAAACCATCCAAGGTTCGCAGCTCAACCTTTAGTTCGTAAATAGCATATTAGTAACCACAGTTGTTTGGAGTTTTAAGACATCCCCAGCTATATATGTCCTCAAGTACATTATAGTTTCATCCATAATTACTTTGAATTTGGCGTAGACAAATTTAATTTGGAATTTTAAACAAAATTCCAGTAAGAAACGTAAGACTAAAATCTTGCTTCAGTGAAATTAACTAGAAAATAATTTAGACTCATACCGCGATATGTGAATAATCCAATTTCGCATCAGTTGGCTTCCTTGACTTAATCAAAGACGACCTCGCCTACCAAGGTTAAAAGAAATTAAGGATAAATAAACTACATGTAGAAAGTATCAAAACACGTTATGCAGGTTAAAAACATGTTATATACAGATTCTGATGAAAAAAGAAAGGCTGCACCTCGACAAAGCCACCGCAACCTTGGATCGCATCGGTAGAATCGAGTGCAACCACTTGTATTGAGAAGACGATAACGAAGAAGAAGCAGCGTAAGAACTTTTGGTCTTTGAGCGCCATCTCACTCTCACCTACCACTAGTAAGAACAGATCTCAAAAAGGAGTATCGGATACCCAACATAAAAAGGATTAATTTGTGAGCGTACAGACAACAGACGACAGATGCAGATGCAGATGCAGACGGAGGCGACGGAGGTTAATTCTTATAGAGATTTAGAGTTTAGCCTGCCTATGATCGTCCCGGACTGCCGGCCCTCTTAAACACCCTTGGTAAGGGTCTAAGTACTAAGCCACTAAGGTTGCTAGGCCCATTTGAGTAGCCCGTATTCCCCTAAGGAAGACCGAAACCCCAATACATGTTAATTGATTGGTTCAATTGACAAAATTGCAAAAATATCTACTTTCTGTAACATAATATTTTAACTTGGAAGGTCTCTACTGTTTGTTTTTATTACGTGTCTGGTTCTTAATGTTTATTTTTATTACACGTTTGGTCTCTATCTTACCTAAAAAAATTATTATTTAAATAGAAAAAAATGGTGAGGTAGGTAAGATAAGGTGAAGGGGTGAGATTGGAGGTGTGTTTATTTAAATAAATCAAAAAATCAAGGAAAAAATAATATTTTTATGTAAGACAGGGAACAAACGCGTAACAAAAACAAACAATAGGGACCTTCCGAGTTAAAAAAAATAAATTAGGCACCAAATAAACAAATTATCCTAAACCATAAGGACTATTCGTGTAATTCACTCAAAAAATTATTAGCAAAAAAGATCATTATTTTATGATTTTGTTGTGATTTTAGTCGCTAATTAATTCTTTTCTAACTTCTTTCTTATTGTATTATTTTTTTATTAGATTGTTATATATTAATAAATATTATTTTTAATATATTATATTTATATATTAATAAATATTTCTTTATTTGATTATTAATTTTTTTTAATTAAATTTATTGAATTTCTTCTTTATTGGATTAGTTCTTTTTTATTAGATTCTTATATATTAATGAATATTATTTTTAACATGTAATCTTTATCTATTAGTAAGTATTATTTTATTGGATTATTAATTTCATTCAATTAATTTAAAAAAAATATATTATTGTGTTAATTCTTTTTATAGGATTATTACTTTAAAATTATTATTTTTATTTATAATAAATATTATTTTTTTAATTGTTTTTATTTTCTTTTAGTTGCTTTCTTTATTGTTTTAAATGAAAATACCAAAAAATGCACTCACCCACCTCTCCTGATTTATTTTAAATATTTGAAAGATAACATATTTTGGACAACACCATCACCATCACTTAGTCACCACCACCAACATCACTCAATCATCGTGTTTATTTTAGTTTCGTATATAGACATGTATCTAAATTTGTTATATATTTCAATTAAATTATGATTTTGAGATATATAATTTTCTTACAAATATTTCTACATGTGTTGAAGCATAAAAGTGACCATCTTAAACTTAAAAGAGATCCGAAAAATTGCTTCTAGCAATCGCAGTCAATTTCAACGCCGCAATCAAGTTTAGCAAACCACAGTCATCGTCATCAACTCTTGGTCTTAGTCTTATATCTGTTTTTCTATAAGTACTTTCTTTTATCCTATGTGACCTGCATGGCAACTCTTAACAGATTAGACTGTATGTAATCTTCGAGACTCTATAAATAGAGTTCTCTTATTCTCAATGAAAAATACTTCTCTTACGCATCTTGAATCTTATCACTCATCTTACTCTCCTCTTACTTATCACTTAGATATAATCATAACTGTTTGATATCTCTCTTCGGAGCAAGTCTTTCTAGACTTAATTACTAAGTTGATCTCACTTACTAACTTGGTTTGATTGTATTCCTTATTAAGAATCAACTTAAGTGTATACTTGATATTATACTTGTTGTCTTTTATATTTCCTTATATTTCTGCATCTAACTTTCTAACCTTCTAACTCTAACTTATTATTATTGTTGAGTTTTAATGATTCTTTGAGTTAAACTTTATTCTGCATTATCACTTGCTCTAACGTTTGTTCAAGTGTGACTCAAGTTTTTCTCTCAACAATTGGTATCAGATCCAAAGTGGTTGTTTTTTGAAGCAAAACTCTAGTTTTCAAAAGGCCTTCTATACCACGGAAGTTCATTTCTCAAAAAAAAAAAAAAAAAAAAAAACAAGGAATATGGCACAAGCATTATCTCTCAACGTTTCCAACAGTGTTGGTGGTTCTAATAAAGCCCCAATATTGGTGGCAAACGAATATCATCATTGGTCTCAGAGGATGAAAAGATACTTAAGGAGGCTTGGAAGATATGTATGGCGATCTGTAGAAGAAGGTCCATGTGTCCCTGTGTCTTACACCCGTTCAAATCGACAGTGCCACAGCCAAACTAGGAGGAGGTCAACCAACCATGAATTGTCCCACCAAAGACGATCTCGATAAAATGGAAAATGATGTAGTTGCTTTTTATGAAATCTTGTGTGAAGTTGCTCCTGACAACTTCGACATTATCATAAACTACAAATCAACAAAAGAGATATGGGGTGTTCTCAAAAACTTATATGAGGGCTGTCACAACTAGCATTTTAGCTAGAAATTTCTATTTATGTGTAACCGTTCATCTATTGTAAAACATGTACTCTAAGTAAAACTCACTCAATTCTCATTTAGATTCATCAATTATGTTCAACAAAGAGTCTAAAAACCCTAAGAATCCCGGTTTGTGTCCATATTGGACTAGAGTTTCCTTATTGGGCCTAGTGGACCAATAAGCACCTAATTCAACTTTATTGAACTTAGAAGCCCTAATTTGATCCTAATTGGACCCAATTCATAAACCTAAAACATTTTGGACCATTTGGGTCTAGAATGATTCACTTTAACCCTAATGGGCCTTATTGGGCCATAACTAATCCAATTAACCTTAGTGAGCCATAAGCTCATTCTTTTATTCTATTTGGGCCTGAATGCTTCTAAGGGCCCAATTGGCCGAAAGTTTTTACGTTTATGATCCAAAGATCCTAACTAAAGTTAATGGGCCCAAACTACTCCACCCTTTCATCTTGGCCCAAAATCTCGGCCCATGTATAAAACAAAAAAAAAGTGAAATGGGGGGTTAACTTTGGAGGTATCACCTCCATATTGTTCAACATGTAACAATGTTAGATCCCCCATACTTTCATGCTAGTTATCTCACCACTTTATCCCCTCTCTTCTTCTTATACTCTCGGCCGAGAGCCAAAACACACACACACTTAAAAAATTTCTCCAAACTTCTCTAAAATCATCATCCTCCTTCCACCAAGATTTTAGAGATTTTTCATGTGTTCCAAGAAGATTCTTCACTAATCTCATCAATCTTTGGTAAGATCTTGTACACCTAAGTTTGATTACTTCATTCTTTAGCTAAATCACTCCATATCAACATCTATTTTGTGATTTTACTTCCTAGAACTCCTTAAGTTCGAAATCTACTCAAGAAGCTTGCTAAGACCAAAAATCTCTCCATTTCTTCTTCAAAACCGAGAACAACAAGCAAATGTGAGTTCATACCCCCTTGTTTTCGGTTTTCATATGATTTTTGGGGGGAAATGCAAGTAAAATGTGTAGATCTATGTGTTATATGCATGTTTTGTGTGAGTTCTTAGTTTATTTGGTAAACATGTGTTAGATCTTAGAAAATCTCGAAATTTTAAGTATTATTTAGCAAAGATCTATGAACTATGTCAATGTTGTAACGCCCGGGTTTTCAGGGCTAAGCATTTTTGTCAATGTAATAGTCTAGGTCAACTATTGTAACTCTTTTTGAAGTAATAAATATGAAATATTTGAGTATTATGTGAATTATGTGTGATTGTGTGTTTATTGTTTAATTATAAATGTATAATTAATAAAGAATAAAAATGAGCGTCAAAATTAAAGTGTGAGATAATCCCGATATCTCTACATAAAGTTGTAGAATATGTCTCAAGGTTTCCGTACATATAAAGAACGCCGAAATCCGAGCTATAACGAAGAAGTTATGACCCGCCGAAGTTTTACGGCAAAACCGACACGGCACCGGAAGACATAAAATAGTGAATTTACGATAGAAGACTTTTTAGCCTTAGAAATATAAACAAAAGTCGTATAATATGTTAAACTAAGAACATCGATAAAAAGAACGCCCAAATCTGACTCCGTATGAAGAAGTTATGATTTTTCGAAGTTTCGGACTAGCAGTGTACTGCCCGAAATTCAAATGTTTGATCGAGCGGTTTTTAGCCGACACGACCTAAACGAGAATCGAAGATCTCGTTAAGAGTAACGTAACGAGAAAAAGATGGGCGAAAACGGATGTCGGATGAAGAAGTTATGAGGATTTAACAGACCAATCCTATCCCGACCCGTTGATAAAATAAAATTTAAAATCGAGTCAAAATTAGCCAACGAAGTCTAAACGAAAGTTGTAGAGTATGTTCCCACCTTCGCGTGGATATAAAGAACGTCAAAAATGGAGCTTGTATGCGAAAGTTACGAATTTTTGAAGTTAGGACTCGAAAATGCGAAACCTGTTGCGAAGATGATGACGTGGCCGCTTCTGAGTCGTTGCTTGCTGACCAAGGCTTCGCTCCGGATCGCGCCACGACGACTCGCATTATGCCCCGCGTACGAGGTCCGGTACGCCCCGCGTACCTTCGGCCTTATCCGTCCGAGTCCGAGTGCGAGCCAGCTGTTGCGAGCTGGCAGCCACCTCCGAGCTACGCGCCGCGTATCCGAGGCCCTCGCGCCTATAAAAGGGGGCCGAAGGTGCCCTCATTTTTCACACCATCTCTCATTCTCTCTCTAGTTTCTTTCTCTCTCTAAGGTTCCAAACCACCCCTAAGCCCTAGTTAAACCCCTAGCACCCTAAGGAAGCCCCGAGGCTCCCGGAGTCCCGAGAAAAAGGAGTTTTTCGGTTTCGAAATGCTGCTCCAATTAAGTCCCGGTTTTCGATAAAATTCGCTGTAAGTATGCTACGCTTATGCAATTTTTAATATAGCTTTCAAATAATTATAGGAATGTTATTAGGTCCTTAAAATAATTATTTGGGCTATTATTATGAGATATATCGAGTATTATTAATGCTTAATAATACTCAGACAATTAATTTGTCACGGTTATCATTAGACTAAACCCTAGTGGTATCGATACTAGGTTTTATCGAAGGAATATCATTTTGAGAGTATCGAAGCGTTGTCCGAGTGCTGAGTCACCACCTAATCAGGTGAGTGCATAGTTACCTTCAACTTACACATAGATATGAAGTATTTTATATAAATTACGTGCTATGTGTGCATATTATCTGAATACTTGCTATCTATGCTAGATGAACGTTGTTATACATGTTTTCAATGATTTAAATTGTATACGTATTTTATATCTACGAAAATGTTGGGGTAAAACATGGGTAGATGTAATAGGTGATGTGTGATAAAATGATGAGAGGCCTCGATGTTGTTGTTGTTGATCCAGTCATCTAGCGGAGTATAGATGACGACCACGGACTCTTCTAGACAGTCCAATGGAACACTAGCAGGCTCGCAACCTGTAGGTGTTGTGAACGATGTGTTCACCGGTGTACTCCATCCCCCACATGGTTTCCTATTAGGACATTTAATGCTGAGGAATCCCCTTAGCAGTAGTGTCCGTCCCGATGATAATCCTTAGGCTAGGTCCCTTATGATAGGTGTTTAGGGACGTAAAGTGAGGATAACGGGAACGGGTAATCGGGTTATTGTTGATTGATGAAATTAATAAACTTATTTATTGTGGGTTGAAAACCCTATGTGCTCACCAGGCTCCCAAGCCAGACCCACTCAGTTTTATGTATTATAGGTAGTGGCGCATGAGCATAGGTGTGATGTTTTGGATGAGGGATTACGGATATAGGCCTGTAGATATGAAATAATGTAGCAAGGCTTATATTGTACTGTTTATACTTTTGATCTGTACGAACATGACATCCCGAGTCTTTTAATGAAATACATTTCTATGGAAATGCTTTTGATAAATCTTTATCATATTATTGTTTTGGGACAAATTCCGCAATCATTTTATTAAAAGATAACTCTGATTTTGAAATAAAGTATAAACAAAACCGGTCTTTTCTGGCCGTGATTTTGGGAATGTCACAAATGTATACATCACATTAACAAGCCAAAAATGATTACATGTTTGAGAAACAAAAGATTGCAACAAAAACCTTGTTAAAGGTCAAAAATTGTCAATAAAACAAAAGATAAGGACAAAAAGTGACATTTATGTTTTTATAGGGATCAAACAGGTCCTACATGTACAAAAGGTATTTTTATGTTAAACATACTTTAAAAAGGGCCAGAAATGCAAATTTAGGCTTAATGGGCTAAAACTTTTAGGCCTCGCAATTTGGGCCCAAATTTGCGGAAAAAATGAAGTTTTTGGGATTAGAAATCTTATTTGAGTGAAATTTGGTTCATAAATGTAAATAAATCAAATTTAGTGGTGAAAAATAACATTTATTTTCAAATTTGACCAAAAATGTAAATTTTTCCAAAATTAGGCCGAAAGTGTAAAGTTTCACAAACAAAGGGATGAAAATGCAATTTTTTGCAAAACTAGGTCTTTAATGTCAAATTATAAAATTTTGGATTAAATTTGTGAATTTCTAAAACATTTGGGACAAAATTGCAATTTTTATAAATTATGAACTAAAATGTCATTTGTATAAAAACTTTG